TAATGATACAAACGGGTTGAAAGCAGAAGAACAGAAAAAGGAAACGGAAACAGGCATCCAGTATTGGGCAGCTCGGACCGTAAAACTAAAATACGCTATCAGAAATGGACAGGGACATTTTATAATAGAAGGGTCAATTCTAAAAGGTTTCAAAAATATTTTTTTTGGTCTTTTTGAGACAGGGTATCCCTGTAACTCCAGCTGTCCTGGAACTCACTATGTAGACCAGGCTGGCCTTGAACTCACAGAGCTCCACCTGCCTCTGCCTCCCCAGTGCTGGGATTAAAGGTGTGCACCACCATGCCCACCTTTTAAAATGTTTTTTAAAAGGTAACAACAATGGAAATTTACTTGTCATGAATAAATTTGCATTAAACACTACAGGAATTACAAGCTTTAGACTAGGCATGCAGAAACTGTATTTGCTATATATGCTATATATGTTTACTATTTTAAAGTTGCTATTTTTAGCCTAATGTCACATTAAACATGATAGGAAATTTAATTATTGTATCAAATTTCTTTTGCCTTTCTTTACCATAGGTTCTAGTACCTACCGTGTCCATGGTTGGAAAACATTTGGGAGCAAGAAAGGATCATCCAGGCTTAAAGATTAAAGAAAATGACGAGAATTGTGGACCTACTACTACAGTTTTTGTTGGCAACATTTCTGAGAAAGCCTCAGATATGCTTATACGACAGCTCTTAGCTGTAAGTTAAATTGTTTTAGTAATTTATTTTATTTTTTTTTTACTTTATAGGTTTCAGACTTATAAACAAAAGCAGGAGGGCTCTGAGTTTATTAGTTTTTGAGACAGGATTGCCAGTAGTCCAGGAGAGCCTAAAACTGATTCTCAGTGCCTTCGCCTCTCAAAGTGATAGCAATAAGTGGGTCACCATGCCTAGGTTCTGGATGATGATGATGACGACTTTATTTATTTATTTTTCTTTTTGGTCTTTTTGAGACAGGGCCTCCCTGTAGCCCCAGCTGGCCTGGATCCACTGTGGATACCAAGCTGGCCTTGAACTCACAGAGATCCACCTGCCTCTGCCTCCTGAGTGCTGAGATTAAAGGTGTGTACTACCAAGCCTGGCTTTTATTTATTTTTTTAATGTTTTTTAATTTTTTTTTTTTTGAGACAGGGTCTTCCTCTACTCCCAGCTGGCCTGGAATTCACTATGTCGACCAGGCTGGCCTCCAGCTCAGTGATCCACCTGCCTCTGCCCTCCAAGTGCTGGGATTAAAGGCATGTGCCACCACGCCTGGCTGTTGATGACTTTTTAAAGATTTGTTTAGTTGGTATTACTATTATTATTGTTATTATTATTATTATTATTTTTTTTTTTTTGGTGTTTTTGAGACAGGGTCTCCCTGTAGCCTCTGTAGACAGTATCTGCAAGTTCTGCTTTTTTTGTTTTTTATTTCTTTTTGTTTTTGCTTGCCTAGTTTGCTTCCCTGACATTGATACTGAGAGCCTAGATCGCTCATCTCTCAAAATATTTCTTACAGTTTGCATTTGCTTTAAAGCAGATTTAAAGTAAGCATTTAGTTTTCTTTGAGACAGGGTCTCCCTGTAGCCCCACCTGGTCTGGAACTTGCTGTGTAGACCAAGCTGGCTTTGATCATTCAGAGATTTACCTGCCTCTGCCTTCTGAGTGCTGGGATTAAGGGTGTGTACCACCACACCCTGCAAAAGTCTTTTTGTTTTATATGATAAAAGCTATTTCAATTTTGTTGATTGTGCAGTCCTCACATTAAATATTGAGAAAATGGTACCCACAAAACCTGCTTGGTCAAATCTAATCATTTTATGATTCAGGTTTTTTCCCTCAAGTGAAATAAAGTTAAAACCAGAAACCCTGGACTGGGCAACAGAGACAGGCAAAACTCCTGAGATCTAGGTTGGCATGGTCTACATAGCAAGTTCCTGGTCATTTGGGGCTACAGATCTTGCCTTAAAAAAAAATAATAATAAAAAATCAGAAACCTTGGTGTTGGAGAGATGGCTCAGCAGTTAAGAGTACTTAACTACTCTTGCACAGGACCCTGTTTTGGTTCCCAGCACCTACATAGCAGCTAACAATTATCTGTAACTCCAGTCTAGAGGATCTGAAGTTCTTCTTCTGGCCTCTACAGGCATTGCATGCATGTGGTACAGCTACATACAGGCAGGCAAAACACTCATGCACATGTAATTAATTAATTAAGAAATCAGAAACCCCAATTCCCTTTCATTTTCTCCACAGAGATAACCCACACTTGCTTTTGTTTTATAGGGGTAATGGGGATAGTGTGTGATGATCTTGCTAAATTTTTTGTTTTCTATATTTTTCTTTTGTAGTTTTGCTTTTGCTTTCCTTTTTTTTTTTTTTTAAAGTTCTTTTGAGGCAGGGTCTCCCTGTAGCCCCAGCTGGCCTGTAACTCACTATGTAGACCAGGCTGGCCTTGAGCTCACAGATATCCACCTGCCTCTGCCTCCTGAGTGCTGGGGTTAAAGGATGTGCCACCACATCCTTTAAGTTAGCCTGGCTAACTTCTTTTTTTTTAAAAAAAAAATTTTTTTAGAGGGGGCTGGAGAGATGGCTCAGCAGTTAAGAGGACTGCTTTTGCAGAGGACCCAGGTTCGATTCCCAACACCCACATGGTGTCTATGAACAGTCCTTAACTCCAGTTCCTGGGTATTCTGAAGCCCTCTTCAGACCTCTGCAGCGTTGCATGACACAGGTGCACTCGCATACATGCAGGCAATACACTCACACATAAAATAAAAATAATAAATAAAATACTGAAACAAAAGTTTAGAGACAAGGACTCAGATTGGAACTCACTGTGCAGCCCAAGTGGCCTCAAATTTGGGTCAGTCTACCTCAGCTCTTGGGATTACATTTTTGTGCCACCATGGTTTAGCCTATAATTATTATCTTATTTGTGTTAACTATTTCATTTTGATAAGTGGTAAGTTTGGTTTGTTTTTTTTTTTTCCCAAGAAATGTGGTTTGGTGTTAAGCTGGAAGAGAGTTCAAGGTGCTTCTGGAAAACTTCAAGGTATGTATGCTTTCCTTATTTTTTAACATCACTTTAATCTGTTGCATAAACATCACTTAGTGTGTTTTATTTTCATTGACTTTATAGTATTATTATTTATTTATTTATTTTTTTGGTCTTTTTGAGACAGGGTCTCCCTGCAGCCCCAGCTGGCCTGGAACTCACTATGTAGACCAGGCTGGCCTTGAACTCACAGAGATCCACCTGCCTCTGCTTCCCAAGTGCTGGGACTATAGGCGTGTGGCACCACGCCTGACTGACTTTATAGTATTAAAAGTAATTGAGAAGATTTTTGCTGAGAGTTGATATTAGAAGAGGCAAAAATTGGAACAAGGAGGTAGAATAGGAAAAAAATTTAAATTATGCAATAGTTTCTTTTCCTGCCTTTAATGCATTAGCCTGGACAAGCCCACTAGCTTACTTTATTTTAGATTTTGTTTATTTAGATTTTATTATAATGGTATGTATGTGTGCATTTGTGTGCAGTACCCATAGAAACCTGAAGAGGGCGCTGGATCCTCGAACTGAAATTATGGCTCAAGTGAGGTGCTTGAGATGGGAACTGGGAACTGAACTATGTACTGTGCAAGAGCAGTTTGCTCCCTTATTTAAATGTCATGCCATTTCTCCTGCTCCATTGCTAAGTTTCCTGTATGTTGAAAAGTGTTTTGTATTTGAAACTAAGACTGTCTGATCATGATGAAACAATTAGAACTCAGGAAAAGAGGAAAGATGATGAGATCAGATGACTTGTTATTTTATTAAATTTTTCTTTTTGTGTGCACCTGTGTATTCATGATTTCATGAAGGTCAGGAGTTGGTATCTGGTTTCTTTTTCAGTTGTTCTCCAGACTAAGACAGTTTCTTGCTAAACCTGGAGCTTGCAGATATTAGTCTAGCAAACTATTTTGCCCAGGGGAATGATTTTGCTTCTCTGCCTTGAGAGTGCTGGGATTATAGGCAGATGGCCATGTCCATCCTGCTCTTATGTGGGTAGTAGGGATCCTACTTCAGCCCTCACTTGGCAGCGTAAGTGCTTTATCCACTGAGCCATCTCCCCTGTCTCAGATGGCCTGTTATTCTTGAAAGTAAACGGTGGTTTTTTGGTTTTGGAGATTACGGTGTCATATGTTCAAGTACTCTTTGAAGTGAGCTATACCCAGCCCTGATAAATTTTGTTTATTTAGAGGCAGAGTCTCACTATATAGTCTTGGCTTGCCTGAAATTCCCTGTGTAGACAAGGCTGAAAATTCAACTGCTTCAGTCCCCCAAGTGCTGGGATTCAAAGACATTGTACCACCATGCCTGGCAGATTCTGTTTTAAACCTTAGTTATGGAAAAACTTGTATATAAAATTGGATAGTACAGTGAGCTACCAGGTTTCTTCACCCAGCTTTAGCAGTGACCAATTCATGGTCAGTCATGCTTCATTGCAGTATGCACATTTCCTTTTGTTAATGTTATTTTAAAGTATCACAATATCCATCCCCCCACCCCCCATCTTTGTAATCCTGGCTGTCCTAGAACTCACTGTGTAGAAGGAGACTGGAGGTCTGCCTGGCTCTGCCCCTCGAGTGCTGGGGTTAAGGGCTTGTGCCACCACGCCCAGCTTGATTTTGTTTTAATTTTGATTCTATATTTCTTAGTAAATAACTGTAAAAGATAAGAATTTTGTTTTATCCCCCTTGTTTTAGAAATAAAGCCTTTAGGAAAAAATTGGTCTGAATAGAATTATAAGACCTGAAAATATTGGCTGTTTTTCCTCATATCATAGGAAAAATAAATCCATGTCATTCAGTCAGTATTGCTTTGTTTACTTATCTCTAACGTCAGGTTCTTAAATGTTTATTTGATTTAGGAGATTGAAATACTTTTGGACTTGATTTTAAGTCTTTCTTGATATTGTAAGCTAATTTAACCCTTATTTGTTCCTGCATGCCTATTTTTCTTTGACACCGGGTTGCCCTAAAGTGTTACCTGGTTTGGATCTTTGTAGACTAGGCTGGCCTTGATCTCAGACTAGATGTTCCTGCCTCTGTCTCCCAAGTATTGAGATTAAAGGCTTGTGCCACCATGCCCATCTTGCTCCCTCTTCTTGAGTTCTGGGATTGTAGTTGTGTACCAGCTCACACAGATAAATTCTGTGCATGTTTACCACAGACTCAATTTTGTTTTTTGGTAGTGCTGGATTATTCATTATTTTATTAGATCATCCAGTAAGTAACAGTTTCCTGGATTTTATTTTTTTCTTTTCCCTTGGTTTTATTTAGTACCTTTTTTTCCTCTTGATTATTTGCCGGTGCTTAATGTGGAATGGTTATCTAACTGTTAAAGAGCAGGCGTGGAATGATTGCTTCAGTATTCTTGAATTAGAGCTTTTTGTCTTCAGTGCTTTTACCATCCTATGTTTTTAATTTTTCATAGCTTTTACTATTTTACCAATTCTTTATTTTTTGTTAGCCTTTGGATTCTGTGAATATAAAGAGCCTGAATCTACCCTCCGTGCACTCAGATTATTGCATGACCTGCAGATTGGAGAGAAGAAGCTACTTGTTAAAGTTGATGCAAAAACAAAGGCACAGTTGGATGAATGGAAAGCAAAGAAGAAAGCTAATGGGGTATGTCGTCTTCTCTAGGCCAGCTGTGCTATTTTAGTATAAATACTTCTCATTATAAATAAATATAATGTGAGAATTCACAAGATCATCATCATTGTAGTATGTGCTTGTAGCTTAAATGCAGGAGTGTATTTTATAGTTTGTAGATATGTGTTTTATCTACCCACAGTGGGTGGATGACTTTTGGTTTGCTTGTTCCAGGTTGGGATGAAGGTAGTAAGGGAGGCTGGACAAGGTTAACTTGCCAGAGAAAACACTTGTACAGACTATTCCAATCAGAGCTAATTCATTAAGGCAGCTTTTTAAGTAAGTATTAAATATATTTTAACCTAAACAATCTTTATTAGTTTTCCCCTCATTTAGAAGTACACAAATTAGATTTTTTTTTTTTTTTTTTTTTCTCGGTCTTTTTGAGATAGTCCCAGCTGACTTGAACTCACTATGTATACCAGGCTGGCCTTGAACTCACAGAGATCCTCCTGCCTCTGCCTCCCGAGTGCTGGGATTAAAGGCACGTGCCACCATGCCCAGCCCTAGATTTTTTTTTTTAATTATTTTTATTTCATGTGTATGAGTATTATGCCTGCATGTAGGTAAGTGCACCCGTGTTGTTCAATGCCCGCAGAGGACAGATCCCCTGGAACTGTCAGATCCCCTGGAACTGGAGTTACGGATAGTGTTAGCTGCCATGTGGGTGCTGGGATTCAAACCTGGGTCTTCTGCAAGAACAGTCAGTGTTCTTGACAGCCATCTCTCTAGCTCACAGATTAGATTTTTAAATGAATGAAAATAAGTCTTAATATTTCGTGTACTGGGATGGCTTTATTCAAACCATCTTTTTTCCTCATTTTAATTAAGGTTATTTTAAATGAAGATACAGGAGGCTCTTATATGATGCATGGTAATGTTATATGCTCCACAAAGCCAAAACACATCTTAAATCTGAGTATATATTGTGTCCTTTTCTTTTGTCTTCCTTTCTCAACAACAACAAAATAGCTTTTTATTCTCCTCAAGCTTTCATTATATTTTTTAAATATTATTTTTAATTTATGTGTACAAGTGTATTGCCTGCATGTATGTGCATGTACCCATGTCATGCAGTGGTTTGGGGGTCAGAAGAGGGCATTGGATTCTCCTGAAACTGGAGTTAAGTATGGTTCTTGGCCACCATGTGGGTGCTGGGAATCGAGCGTGGGTACTCTGCAAGAGCAGCCAGTGCTTTTAACCTCTGAGCATCTGTGTACTTTTTTTTTTTTTTTTTTTGCTTTTTAATTTTCATTTTATGTGTATACATGTACTGTGTGCATGTATGTAAGTGTACCTGTGTCCTGCAATGCAGGAGGATGACAGAAGAAGGTGTCTGATCCCCTGGAACTGGAGTTACGGACAGTTGTTAGCTGTTATGTGGGTGCTGGGAATCAAACCCCGATCTTCTGGAAGAGCAGCCAGTGCTTTTAACTGCTGAGCCATTTCTCCAGCCCCTATTTGAAAAAAATTTTATTGGGTTTTTGAGAGGGGTTTCCCTGTAGCTCCAGGTGGCCTGGAATTTGCTATGTAGCTCAGTTTGGCCTCCAATCTCACAGAGTTCTGCCCCCCTCTGCCTTGATACTAAAGGCATGTGCCACCATGCCCAGATTTTTTTAATTAATTAATTAATTAATTAATTAATCTTGGTCTTTACTGTTGTCAGTGGGCTCTGTCTTTGTCTTTCATAGCTCATGGTACTCCATTGGTTCTAATGCTATGTAGAAAGGGTAATAATTAGTTCATTAGGTCTTTGCTTTTATACCTCCACATCACCTAGGAAAATGTCTTGCCAAAATTAAGAATGGAAGGAGCATTTATTGAGTGAATAGAAGTTGTTATTTTGTAGGCATGGTAGTAGTGCAGGCCTTTAATCCCAGCACTGGGAAGACAGGCAGATAGTGAGATTAAGGCCAACCTGGTCTATATAGCAAGTTCTACAGCATCTGGGGCTACAGGGAGACCCTGAATTTAAAATAAATAGAAAAATTGTAGTTTTTTTTTTTTTTTTTTTTTTTTTTTTTTTTTTTTGTCAGCTTATAGTTTTCTTTGTGAGATACAAGAAAAACCAAAATGATCTATTTTGTATTGCTTAAAAAAGAAACAGTAGTTTTTCTAGAAGTGAAAGATGTTTTCCTGATTTGGAGTTTTAAGAAATTACATGCATTTAGTTTTTAAATTTTTTTTTCTTGGTATTTTAATTTTACATGTATAAGTGTTTTGCCTGCATGTAATTGTACCATATCCGTGCAATGCCCACAGAGAGTAGAAAAGGGCTTAGGATAGCCCTGGTAGTGGTGTAAGGGACAGTTGTTAGCTGACAAGTCGGGTCTGAGAACTGAGCCAGGGTCCTCTACAAAAGCAGCTAGTGCTCTTAACTTCTGTGACATCTCTTCAGCCCCGAATTACATACTTTATTTATTTATTTATTTATTTATTTATTTATTTATAAAATATTTTATTATTATTTGTCTTTTGAGACAGGGTCTCCCTGTAGCCCCAGCTGGCCTGGATCTTGCTATGTAGTCCAGGCTGGCATCAAACTCACAGAGATCTGCCTGACTCTATTTCCTGAGTGCTGGGATTAAAGGCATGTGCCACCAGGACTTGGCCTAATACTTTATTTTTTTTGTCTTTTTGAGACAGGGTCTCCTTGTAGCCTCAGCTCTCCTGGAACTCACTGTGTAGACCAAACTAGCCTTGAACTCACAGAGATCCATCCGCCTGCCTCTGCCTCCCAAGTACTGGGATTTAAAGATGTGGTGGCGCATGCCCGGCAATATTTTATTATTTTAGTTTTATGTGTATGAGTGTATTACCTGTCTGCATATATGTAAGTGCGCTCATGTTGTGCACTGCCCACTGAATTTAGAAGAGGGTATCTGATTCCCTGGAATTGGAGTGTTGTTAGCCACCATGTGGGTGCTGGGAACTGAACCTGGGTCATCTGCAAGAAAAGCCAGTGCTCTTAACCTCTGAGCCATCTAGCTCTCCAGCCTCAAATTATATGCTTTTATAAGATTTACTTGTCAGCTAACTTGATGAAAATGATGTAAATTTGCTTTTTTCTTTTCATTTTTAAATTGATGTTTAGTTAAATATTTCATTTGAGCTAGCCATTCCAATCTATATATTCATGTCTTAGCATTTTCACTCTATCCAGCATTAAGTGTATATAAGGATAGATCTCTGTCACAATTTGTAATTGTTGGCCATGCATTCAGTAGTGGACTGGTAAGCCTGGCCTGATGACACACCCTTTTATCCCAGCTCTCAGGAGGCAGAGGAATTTGATGCCATCCTGGCCCTCACTGCCAGTTTCAGGCTAGCCAGGGCTGTGTAGTGAGTCTCTGTCTCAAAAACAAAATAAAAGTAGCCAGGTGTGGTGGCACATGCCTTTAATCCCTGTACTTGGGAGGCAGAGGCAGGCTGTGCCTCTGTGAGTTCAAGGCCAGCCTGATCTACATAATGAGTTCCAGGTCAGCTGGGGCTAAGGGAGACCCTGTCTCAAAAAGACCAAAAAAAAAAAAAAAAAAAAAAAAAAAAAAAAAAAAAAAAAAAGATGCCCTTGAAGATGTTACCTATTGCTTGCTGTTACTTATCAGGATGCTTTCAGGATTGTAATACAGAAGTGCAACTGGGAAATGGGAAATTGTTTATGTTTGGGAACTTAGACATAGAAGTTTAGATGAAATTTAACAGCCTATGATTTCGTCTTGCTAACCTAAAATAAATTCTCCATTATGCATCAGCTTATTTTTGTTTTACTGACATTAACAAGCAGTTAATAGAGTTGGGCTATTAAGGTTGCTTTCTGATGTATTTTTTGTTGTTGTTTTTTTTTTTTTTTGTCTTTTTGAGACACAGGGTCTCCCTGTAGCCCGAGCTGTCCTGGAACTCACTATGTAGACTATGCTGGCCTCAAATTCACAAAGATTCACCTGCCTCTGCCTGGGATTAAAGGCGTGTACCACCACACCCGGCCACAGATTTTTATGTGTAGTGGTGTTTTGCCTGCAGGTATGTAAATGTACCCCTGTGTGCAGTGCCAAGTGGAGATCAGAAGATGGCATCAGATTCCCTGGAACTAGAGTTACAGATAGTTCTTGGTCCCCATGTGGGTGCTGGGAACCAAAACCAGGCCCTCCAGGAGAACAGTACTCTTAACTGCTGAGCCAGAGTCCTCTGCAGGAGCAGCCAGTGCCCTTAACCACTGAGCCATTGCTCCATCGCTAAGACTTTCTTGTAGAAATATAATTTGAGCTGTTACCTTTAATCCCAGCATTCTGGAGACAGGCAGGTGGATCTCTGAGATCTAGGCTACCTTCATCTACACAGTGAGGTTCAGGCCAGCTGGGAGACCCTGTCTGAAAAAGAAAATAGCAGCAAAACATAGTATGAGTGGCAATCAGATGTTTAGAAGGTAGAGTCCTTGTACATGCCTTTATTGTAGATGTTTCATTTTGTAATTCTGTATAACTAGCTGCCTTGGTATTAAATTTTCACTTTATTAGTATGATAATTTAGGTATTAAAAGTTTTTTTTTTTTTGTCTTTTTGAGACTGGGTCTCCCTGTAGTCCCAGCTGACCTGAACTCACTATGTAGACCAGCTGGCTTTGAACTCAAAGACTGCTTCTGCCTCCCAAGTGCTGGGATTAAAGGCGTGCGCCACTACTCCCAGCTTTTAAAAGTTATTTTTATATTAACAGGCTATTGGAATTATAACTCCACTTCTGTTCCTATGCTTAGAAACTTGCAGAGATTACTGCTAGAAAAGAATTCAGAATGTAGGAAATATGTCACACAGAATGAATCCTTTCTAATCAGAATGTTTTATCATTTTTTTGATTTATGTTTATTTAATGTGTATGAGTATTTTGCCTGTCATGTATATAAATGCACAGTGTGCATGGGATGCCCACAAAGCCAGAACAGATCATCAGCTTTCCTGGAACTTGAGCTGCAGACAGTTAGCCAACATGTGGATTCTGGTAACCTAACCTGGATCCTCTGAGAGAATAGTACTCTTAACTGGTGAACCATCTCTCCAGTCCCTAATCAAGAATATTTTGATAATACAGAATTTAGATTTTTTAAAAATATTTATTATTTTTATGTGTATGAGTGTATTGCCTGCATGTATGTGAGTGTACCCATGTCGTGCAACGCTGTAGAGGTCCGAAGAGGGCTTTGGATTCCCCTGTAACTGGAGTTAAGGACTGTTCATAGCCACTGTGTGGGTGCTGGGAATTGAACCCAGGTCCTCTGCAAGAGCATTCAGTGCTCTTAACCGCTGAGCCATCTCTCCAGCTCCAGAATTTAGATCTTAAAAGTTCAGTTTTCTAGCTGGGCCTGTTGGAGGCGGGCAAGATCTCTGTGAGATCAAGCCCAGCTGGTGCTATAGGGAGAACCTGTCAGAAAATTGAATAGAAAAAGAAAGTGGAAAAATGCCGAGTTTCTCAAAACTGGTTTGGTGGCACATGGCTGTAATCTCAGTATTTGGGAGACTAAGACAGGATTGCAAGTTCCAGACCCCCTTGGGTTGCACCATAACATGGTAAGAGAATAAAAACCCTCAAATTTTGAATGGAAGCAGCCATGTTACTGGAGGTTTCTCTTTCATATAAAACCTTTAGAGAGCCTGGTGTGGCGGCGCACGCCTTTAATCTGGAGGCAGAGGCAGGCGGATCTCTGAGTTCAAGGCCAGCTTGATCTACATAGTGAGTTCCATGACAGCTGGGGCTACAGGGAAACCCTGTCTCAAAAAGACCAAAAAACAAACAAATCTTTAGAGAACCATAGTATTGTTACTGAAGAGATTTTAGTGACTGGTATGTAAATATTAATTTAAGGCCTTATTAGCTATGTATTACCACTTTAAAATAGTCACCACGATTAACAATTTACTACGTATTGTTGATAATTTTAGTAGTTTAATTACAGTCTAGTGTAAAGCATCTTGCCTTTATCTAAGATGCCAAGTAGAAAATGGGCTACAAGAAGATTGAATGAAGAGGCAGGTTTGAGAAAGTAAGCTCTTTTTAGAGTTGGTAGTTTTATGTGACATAATGCCTTATTGACATAATGTGTCATAACCATCTGGTTTTTTTTACTCTTTTAGTAAATGTTCTTTTAAAATTTTTACTTTATGCCCTCTAACAGTGTTACATACTGTGCTCTGAATTTAAGAAATTTAGTTAATTTAAGGCTTAATGAATATGTATATGAATATATTTCTAATGGTAGAAACAGCCTTGAGAATGATGGTTGTTATGAAGTCTCTGGTAAGTTAAATTGTTAAATAATTTTAAAGCATGAAATTTAGTATGTTTTGACAAAGAACTGATCATAGATACAAAAGAGCATGGTTTGTTTTTTCTGGTATACTGAGGGTTGAACCCAGGATGTCACACATGCTAAACTGGCTCTGTGCCACTGAGCTATATCCCTGGCCCTACGAATATGGTTTTTGTACGTTGTCTGTAAGTATGCTCAGTATATATTTGCCAAGTACACTGCTATTTTTTTTTTTTTTAATTTTTTTTTATTTATTATTTTTATTTTATGTGTATATGTGTATTGCCTGCATGTAGGTTAAGTGCACCCGTGTCATGCAGTGCCCATGGAGGACAGAAGAGGCTGTCAGATACCCTGGAACTGGAGTTACAGACAGTTGTTAGCTGCCATATGGGTGCTGGGATTCAAACCCGGGTCTTCTGCAAGAACAGTCAGTGTTCTTAACCGCTGAGCCATCTCTCCAGCCCCCAAGTACACTGCTATTTTAAGATAGAGATGTGTATAGTTTTAATTTAGAAAAACAGTGTCTTTGTATGTGTAATTTGTGTACGTAGTTTGTCATTAATCTTTTTCTGTGTTTTGAGTAGTGTTGAAAGTGAATGGCAGCCGGGCGTGGTGGTGCATGCCTTTAATCCCAGCACTTGGGAGGCAGAGGCAGGTGGATCTCTGTGAGTTTGAGGCCAGCCTGGTCTACATAGTGAGTTCCAGGCCAGCTGGTGCTAAAGGGAGACCCTATCTCAAAAAAAGACCAACCAAAAAAAGAAAAAAAGTAAATGGAAATAAAAACCTTGAGGTCATCATGTAAATTCTGTTTTTAGTTTTAATTAAATTACCTCCATATCTAGTCAGCTTTAAAAAATGGGATGAGGCTGTTTGTGGTGGTGCACGCCTTTAATCCCAGCACTTGGGAGGCAGAGACAGGTGGTTCTCTGAGTTTGAGGCCAGCCTGGTCTCCATAGCAAATCCAGGCCAGCTGGGGCTACAGGGATACCCTGTCTCAAAAAAGACCAAATAAATAAAATTAAAAATGGGTTGAAACCAAGAAAATTAGTGTGTTATAATATTGGAATATAGGGTCTCACTATGTAGATGATGTTCACCTGTTTCTGCCTCCTGAGTGCTGGGATTAAAGGTATGTGCCACCACATCTAGCTAAACCTTTACTCTCTTTTTTTTTTTTTTTTTTTTGTCTTCTTGAGACGGGGTCTCCATGTAGTCCCAGCTGGCCTGGAACTCCCTGTGTAGACCAGGCTGGCTTTAAACTCACAGAGGTCCACCTGCTTTTGCTTCCCAAGTGTCCAGCTTAAAACTTTACTCTTTACTCTTAAATGATTAATGAATATTTATTTTTCATAAACATGAAATAAAATTTTTTTAAATTTATTATTTTTATGTGTATGAGTGTATTGTCTGCATGTGTGTAAGTGCACCCATGTCATGCAGTGCCCACAGAGGTCAGAAGAGGGCATCAGATCCCCTCAAATTGGAGTTTCAGGTGATTGTCAGCCAACATATAGGTGCTGGGAATCACCTAGCCCTGAAGTAAAATTCTTAAAATGATACTGCATATGCAGTCTTAGGGAAAGGAGAAATATGTAGTATTTAGATTTGATTCCTTTTTTGTATTTGATTTTTAGATTTGATTCCTTTTTATAAACAGCATTTGCTGCATTGTAGAAGTTTTTTTAATTAAAAAAAATTTATGTGTATGAGTGCATTGTCTGCAGGTATGTAAGTGCACCCATGTTGTGCAGTGCTGGTGGAGGATAGTAGAGGGTGTTGGATACCCTGGAATTGGAGTAACAGATGTGAGTGCTGGGATTCAAAACCAGTCTTCTGCAAAAACAGTCAGTGAGTACTCTTAACTGCTGAGCCATTACTCCAGCCTTGCACTGTAGAAATTGTATAAGCTGGAGCTACTTTCCACCAGGTCTGACAGCTTAAGGTTGGTCCCAGGACCCATATGGTAGAAGGAAGTGAATGAATTTCCACAGGTGGTCTCCTGACCTTCATATGTATGTCATGGCAAAAATAATTTTAAAACTTTTAAAAATAGTAGAAGCACATGTAAGGAAAGAAGCTATCATTTCAGGCCATACCCTTTCTGATTCTTGCATTTTGGTGTACATACCTACCTAGTATTTTTCCTTTAAGTGTATCATAGTCTTACTTTGGAGTGACTTTCTTTTTTTCTTTCCTCTGAATTTGTCTTGATTTTCAAGAATGCCAGACCAGAAACTGTCACTAATGATGATGAAGAAGCCTTAGATGAAGAAACAAAGAGAAGAGACCAGATGATTAAAGGGGCCATTGAAGTTTTAATACGTGAATACTCCAGTGAGCTAAATGCCCCCTCACAGGAGTCTGACTCTCACCCCAGGAAAAAGAAGAAGGAAAAGAAGGAGGACGTATGTATTCCTGATAACATATTCATTTCTACAATTTTTTTTGTTTTTTAATATGTGTATAAATGTTTAACCTACATGTATGTAAGTGTACCATGTGTGGGCAGTCAATGCTGGAGGAGGCCAGAAGAGGACATTGGATCCCCTGGAGCTCCATAGATGGTAGCTAGCTACCATGTGGATATTGGGAACTGAACCCTGGTTGTCGCAAGAACCACCGAGCCATATTGCTAGACCCCCCCCCCTTTTTTTTTTTTTTTTTTTTTTGGTGAGACAAGGTCTCACAGTACAGCTCTTCGTGGCTTGGAAATCTCTTATGTATAGACCAGGTTGGCCTTGGCCTCACAGAGATTCACCTGCCACCAAGTGGCCTGGACATTTGTGCAATTTTTTAAATTTTTTTTTCTGAGAATTTCATGTAAGTGCTGTATTTTACATCATTTCTACACTTTGATTTCATGCCTCTAAATCCTTGTGTCCTCCCCACTGACTATGGAATTCATGACCTCTTCTATAATTATTGTTACTATTTACACACACATATAACCTACAAGTATTTAGGGATGAGCATTCTTGATCGGCCAACCTATTGGGGGAGCTTCGGTTTGGTTTTCATGTCACTCTTGTGCTTTGGGTATATTTAAATTTTGGGGAATTGAATGACTAGGATTCATAATCAGGTTGACAAAATATTTTTCTTTTTACTCATTGCTTCTAGATAAATTATAGTGATTTTTAAAAATTTAGGGATTTTATGTGTCATAAAAAAGTAATTACATAGTAGTTATTAAAGGATAGTGAAGGTTTGTTATTTTGAATTTCAGTATCTTTTTTTTTTTTTATGTGTGTGTATGTGGCCATCTTCAGTTCTATCTTTGGCCAGATAAATTTTTGCTATTTTACCTATTCATTATTTAGTCCTCCTAAAATTCTGTCTAGTTGATTTGAAAATCTGTTGGTTTGCTAACAGAATCAGTCAGGCATAAACAACTGGTCATTAATATTGGTGGGAGGGAAGAGGATAAGTTAAAGAAGAAATACCATTCTTTGGCAAGAATTATAAGCAAGTCTTAATTCATATAATTGTTTTTTATCTTAGAATAGTGGGGAAAGCCATGTTTCTCTTGAGACGGCATCTCACCTCCCACTCCATTATCTGGAGATATTGGGGAGAGGATGTACTGGGTGAGGGAGGAAGGGTTTAAAGTTAATGAAATCATTTCCTGTTAAGTAATTTGAAATCAAGAAAAAACCACAAATTCTATATTGTATCCAGTGTAAGTGTGTAGTCCATTGAATAAAAGAAATGTGAACTGTTTTTAAAAAATCTTTATGGGTTTTTCCGCAGATTTTCCGTAGATTCCCAGTGGCCCCCCTGATCCCTTATCCACTCATCACCAAGGTTCGTTTAAATTGTAGACTTTGACATTGTGTATACTACTAATTGCCAGATTTGGGATTGTTTGATTTTTATTACTTAATTTTAGAATGTTAGCTTTTACTGTCAAGTCAGCCTTCTTTTTACTTAGTCTTGTATTTTCTAATACTCTGACAAAATACTGAATTTTAAACTTTTATGTTGATGTAATTAGATTTTTATTCATTCTCTCCCATTTCCTCACCCTTTAGGAGGATATAAATGCTATAGAAATGGAAGAAGACAAAAGAGATCTGATATCCCGAGAGATCAGCAAATTCAGAGACACACACAAGGTAGTATTCTTGGTTTTTTTCGCTTGATACCAATCTAGACTTTTTACAGAATCCAAAGCAAACAGACAAGAAAATCAACCTTACATTAGAATAAAAAGTTACATGCTTTTTATAGGCTTAATTGATTCTAGGTAGAAATAAAAAACAGAAGATTAGTCACATATTAAAGTGGTCATTGCTTAATTTTTTCAGTCTCTGACTACTCTGCAGTTATCCCACTTTAATATGACCAAGAGTTAATTAATAGATTTCAACATAAACATCAAGATCAGATTTAAACTAGATTTCAAGGGGGCAGCAGGATAACATACATACAGTTTAGTATATTTTTGTGGGCAGTTACTTGATCTTAGGAAAACCTTTAGAGCTGAGATTAAAATTTAAGATTTATATTTGTATAGATTTAAGTTGAGTGGGGGAGATTTTTAAAAGTAAGTCAGTGGTTACCAGACTTACCAAATTATAGATGCATGGAAGAACTGTAAATTCCCATAAAGCTAATCTATTCATTGACCCCCACCATTATGATAGAGATCATATGGTGACTAATGCAAGATGAAACTCTCAGCTTGGAAAGTAACAAGGAATAGGATGTAAGTATGAGCTTCTGTTTTTTATTATATTTATGGATGCCCCCTCAGAAAAATATGCAAAGGGGTAACTGGCTTGGAAATGGGTATTTGTGTGTAGTAAATCCCACTCATGAGTTTTGCCTATTTAAAGCTTCTTTCAATGACAGTGCATCTGTGAATGTTTGCTGGTATTGAAGGTGATGCTTACGGATGGTGAAATGCAAAGTGCATGAAATGTATTTTGATATTAGAGGTAATAAGATATTACTGGTTCCGAGTTAGACTGAGAGATATGTAACTCAGTGAATAAGTGCTCATTTTCTCTTGATTAAATCTTTTTTTTTCTCATTGCTTTCAAAAATCCCAAGTTGACAATGATAATGAATCAATGCTGATGAACACTTACTGTCCAGATGCCCAGCCATAGCTCACATACAAGAATTAAATGTGCTTTTTCAGGAATTAAATATGTAAAAGCACAAATGAACTCCCATAATTTTGAGAGTTACAGTGGTGGTCTGCGGGATGTCACTGTAGAGTAATACTTCTGTTTATGTTCAGTACTCAAATTTAAGGTGGAATAGCTTAAAAATGGTATTTAGTTGTGTGTGTAGTTTACCCCTTTTTGTTTTTATTTATTTGTTAAATAAAATTTGGTAAATTATGAGTCTGTAAGAAAGAATACCCAAAAGCTAGTTGCTTTAGTATTATGAGTCTGTCAGGCATTTCACTGCTTTAGTATTATTTTACTGAGGGGAGTGTTCTTAATTTCCAAAATGTTTTAGAAGTACAAAGAAATCAAAAATAAAAACCAGTTTTTACTGGGTGGGTTGGTTAAGGGGCTATTTGAATTCTCAGTAATAAAAATGAGCTCAGTGAACCTTTGCATGTTTTGGTATGAGTTTATTAAATAACCACAGACTGTCAGGGTATCAGCGTGGCAGGGGGCGTCCATTTACAGCACGGATGAGTCTGAAGAGAGAATAAGGTAAGACTTTTGACTTTTTTAATCTTCCGTTTCCTCTTCATTACTTCGCTACATTTTTTTAGACTTCTCATTTTTCTTTAATCTTCCTTTAAAAATGTACATATATATGCTATATATCTGTGCTTGTGTACACACATATAGCATATATAAGTGACTTTGTAGAAAGCATTTAGTGCGGACTAAATTTACTCTGTTTACATAGAGCAACTATTAAAATGAGTTCTGAAAGAAACTGCTTTTACATGAGAGGAAAGGTAGCATAGTAAATAAGAAAACGTAAAATATTAAAGACTTGTACAAAAGAAATTAAAATTGGAACAGCTAAAATAATCTGTAAGTATATGTTATCTCCGAAATAAACAAATTTCTAAGTGTATGACATTGAGGTAAGTTTTATGTAGTTTAGCTTCATTTCAAAATATCAGTTTTAAACTCCATTAGAACTGTTTCAGAAATTAGATTTTGCCCCATAACAGCTTTCAGTTTCTGTCTTTCATACCTCCTATTTTCCCTTTCTAATTTCAATGTATTCAGTATTGGCTCGGCCTGTACTCTAGCAACTGAATATATTGACACTTCATACATTAGCTGTTCTTTCATAATCCTCTATCAGTTCTCTGGTCCATGAGCAAGAGAAAAAGTATCTAACAGGTAAGACTGCTTTTTAAAGTTTTAAATGCTTTACATGACTGAGAAAAGAAAAATGAGCATTTTATTGTTGCAGTTTAAATTTCAGTGAAACTAAAAGTGGAACCACAGCGATAAATGTGTTTTACTTTTGTTTTGTTTTGTTTTACCTGTTTGGGGTTTTTGTTGCTGTTGTTTTCTTTTTTCCCCCTTCTTAGTTTGTATAGAAATCTTGTGGTACAGTGGTAATCTTTCAGGATACAAACTTGGTCTGAATGTTATTTGGTTTATTTGTGAACCATGTACTTGCTCTTCCTCCCAGAAACATAGCTTGTAGGCAAGGTTAATCCAGTGTTGGAGATCCATGTCCTAGCACAGCATCTGTAAGTTAATACATAATCATTCCTTGCAAGGATGGATTTATCAATGTAAATATGTTTTTTATTGTCTTACAGGCATAATGAGTATAATTATATTGCTTTTAAATATTTTAAATGAAAATATTGCAGTTATGTATGTTTTGCTTGAAGTGAATGATTTTAAGTTTCTGTATTTGGTGGGCGATCCATCTTGTAATGGTGGGAGTACTTATTTTGTTAAGGAAACAGATCTTGACTGAATGCAGATTCTGTTTCTTTTGGTGGGTGGGTCACAGAGGGCAGAAAAATGTAATGCTGACTTGAATCGCTTCCCACCCCATCTTAAAACTCACCTTGTAACCTTTGTGTGTAGTAGGAAATCCAAGGTTACAGTTATCACTGGTCCCACTGATTTATAGATAACTCGTAATGGTCAGAATTAGGGTTTAGCTAAATAATTGTCTTTCTAGAAATAACTAGGAATCATCACATTCTTCATGGTTATTTTAGATATTCCTTAGTCATTGGGTGGCCAGCCATGCTTAACATAATCTCCCACCTTTCAAGAGTGGAGATTCCTGGTAGATTCCTGGTCTGTGTAGAGCATATGGTTTTGCACGAAATCTAGTCTTGTGATTGCTTCAGTTTAATTTGTCAAATAAAGCCACACCTATTTAATATTAAATAACCAGTGGTTTGATGCTTTTGTTACCAATATTGGGCGTTGCACCAGGAAACGTCTGAATGCTGGAGCTACAGAATTAACTCTAAAAGAACTTTTATTGGTTTCTAGAAACTGGAAGAAGAGAAAGGCAAAAAAGAAAAAGAAAGACAGGAAATTGAGAAAGAACGGAGAGAAAGAGAGAGGGAGCGTGAAAGGGAACGAGAAAGGCGAGAACGGGAACGAGAAAGGGAAAGAGAACGTGAACGAGAAAAGGAAAAAGAACGGGAGCGGGAACGAGAACGGGATAGGGACCGTGACCGAACAAAGGAGAGAGACCGTGATCGAGAAAGAGATCGAGACCGGGATCGAGAACGGAGCTCAGATCGAAATAAAGATCGGAGTCGATCAAGGTAAGCCTTTATAGAGTGTTTCTGCTTCGCAGAATTACAAGGTAGCCTTTGAGGAACCATTTACATTTATGTGATGGATTTCCATAGCTTGGCTTTTTGTACACACAACATTGAAAATAAAATTTTTTTTTTTTTTTTGGTCTTTAGACAGCGTCTCCCTGTAGCCCCAGCTGTCCTGGAACTCACTATGGAGACCAGGCTGGCCTTGAACTCACAGAGATCCACCTGCCTCTGCCTCCCAAGTACTGGGATTAAAGGCATGCGCCACCACGCCCAGCGAAAATAGTAATTTTTAATTTTGGTTATTTCACTTCTGAGATGGGTTCTTTGAGCAATAGGCTAGCCTGGAAGTATAGCCCAGGCTGCTCTTGAACTCATGATCCTTTTGCCTCTACCTTCTGAGTACTAGTAGGATTATGGGCATGTACTGCCATGACAGAGTGAAATGACATATGGTGTTTTTGTTTTTTACAGTGCTGGGGATACTAACTCTAGGGGCCTGTTAAACTAGACAAGCACTCTACTGTCAAGCTGCATTCCTAGCAAAAGTTTTTCAACTGTGTGATTGGTTTCTCTATGAGGCTAGCTTTGTTTTTGTTTTTGTTTTTTCTTTTTGAGACAGGATTTCCCTGTAGCACCAGCTGGCCTGGAACTCACATAGTGCCTGCCTCTGCCTCCCATCATGCCTGGCTGAGGGTAGTTTCTTATAAACCTAGAAAACACCTACTACAGACCAGTGTTTGGACAGACATAGTTCTATCTTATCTTCTTGAGTTGATAGGCAGTTTTTCTGGTCATTCTTTCATTGAGGTCGTATGTGCTAAGAAGTCAGCCCTGGCACTATTTTGTGTGTGTGTGTGTGTGTGCGTGTGTGCATGTGCGTGCGTGTGCTTTGTCTATCCCACTGGACTACCACAGATTAACTTCCTGGCTACTAATAATTTCTTTTTTTTGGTCTTTTTGAGACAGGGTCTCCCTGTAGCCCCAGCTGTCCTGGAACTCACTACGTAGACCAGGCTGGCCTTGAACTCAAAGAGATCCACCTGCCTCTGCCTCCCAAGTGCTAGGATTAAAGGCAGTGCGCCATCATGCCTGGCGTAATTTCATTTTTTTAAGGACTTTTTTTTTTTTTTCATAATCTTTTATTTTCTTTTGGTTTTTTTTTTTTTTTTGAGACAGGGTCTCTCTCCCCTGTAGCTCCAACTTGCCTGGAACTCACAGAGATCTGCCTGCCTCTGCTTCTGGACTGCTGGGATTAAAGGTGAGCATCACCACGCCTGGCATTTCATAACCTTTTAAAAGATAGATTTAGCCAGGAATGATCATAATACACCTTTAATCCCAGTACAGGACCCAGAGACTGAGGCCAGTTTGGTCTGCACCACAAGTTCCATGGGTTACAGGGAGATCCTGTCTCAAAAAGACCAAAATAATAAATAATATAGAAATTATTTTATGTTCATGAGTGTTTTAGCTACATGTATGTTTGTGTACTTTATGTAAGACTGATATATGCCTCATGCCCTCAAAGACCAGAAGAGGGTGTTGATACTCTAGAACTGGAGTTACAGACAGTTTTGAGCTGCCATGTGGGTGCTGGAATTGAACCCTGCTCTTCTTCAAGAGCAGCCAGTGCTCTAAAGCACTGAACTGTCTCTCTTAACCCAAGAGTTAGTATTTTTTGTTTTGAAGGGTTTATTTTTATTACTTCTAGTATATGTGTCTCTCTGTAGGTATTTGTAGGTGAGTGCAGGTACTCAAGGCCTGAAGAGGGCGTGAGATCCTTTGGAGCTGTGAATAGACACAGTGGAGCTACCCAATGTGGGTGATAGGAGCCACACTCTAGAAGAGCAGGATACCTTCTGAACTACTCATTCTTCTCTCTAGATTTGCTTTTAAAGCATGTTTATTAATTAGTTCTTTTGGGAGTGCTTTTCTTTTGTATACATGATGTGATTAATATTCCAGTATATAATTAATATTCCATTATACGTTAAAATGAATAATTTTTCAATCTTTTATATAATCTTAACATCTAAGTTTTGTGTTTGCTTTCTGACATGAGTAAATATTATTATTGACTTAGAATGCAATTCAGAATTTGAATTTGGAATATAAATCTGTTACTTTATTTATATCACTGGGATTAAAACCCATGACCTTGTACATGTTAAGACAAATGTTCTACCTTTGTTATACCTCCAGTCCCCTGGTCTGTGCTTTGTCTCTAAGTATAGAGAAATTTACACTTCTGTAAAAATTGAACGCTGAATTCTGGCTTGTGAGTTTGTATATTGATTTATATTACATGTTGCATTTCCCTTTGTTCTTAAAGGGAAAGATAGTGTAGAATGATTCATTTTATATATTTTTTAACATTTTATTTCTACAGAGAAAAAAGCAGAGATCGTGAAAGGGAACGAGAGAGGGAGAGAGAGAGAGAGCGAGAACGGGAACGAGAGAGAGAACGAGAGCGTGAGCGAGAAAGAGAGAGAGAACGAGAGCGGGAAAGAGAGAAAGACAAGAAAAGAGATCGAGAAGAGGATGAAGAGGATGCATATGAACGAAGAAAACTTGAAAGAAAACTCCGAGAGAAAGAAGCTGCTTATCAAGAGGTAAATTTAAGAAAGTATCTTATTCTCAGGCTCTGCAGAATCTTTTCTAAAGTTTTAAAGCACTGAAAAATATTTTTTAGCGCCTTAAGAATTGGGAAATCCGAGAACGGAAGAAAACCAGGGAATATGAGAAAGAGGCTGAAAGAGAAGAAGAAAGAAGAAGAGAAATGGTAAGCCCAGCCTGAAAATAACGTGACTTGCCAAGTAAAAAATGAAATGTTCAAGCTTCTCAGTTTTCTTGTTTTATTTATTTTTATCTTTTTGAGACAGGATTTTCTGTAGCCCCAGAAGATTATGGGCCTGAAACTCATAATGTAGATCAGGCTGGCCTCCATCTTACACAGATCTATCTGCTTCTGCTGGAATTAAAGGCATACTCCATTCATTGCACCCAGCTTAGCCAAATTTTTTGGTCACGATTGAAGTAAAACAACACAAGTTGCTACTTCACCCAAAAGTGGTGGTTTTACTCTGTTCTTTTCTTGACTACTAAATTTTTTTTAACTAGTTAGTTTTTTTAGTTTGAAACACTTGTGAGACAAATTCAACACACAAATTTTTAAGTTTTTGCTGCCCGTAAACAAAATAATTAGCATAGTATTGAAGTAAATCTACCATAGTATATTATAGACATTTAAAATTAATATAACATCCTTTGATTAAGATTATTAGGGACTGGAAAGATGATTCAGTTAAGAACACTGGCTGCTCTTGTGGAAGAAACAACAAAGTATTAAGTTTTATGAGCCTGGTCTACATGGGGAGTTCCGAGGCCAGCTGGGGCTACAGGAAGAGCCTGTCTCAATAAAACAAAAACAAAAACTTGATCTCAAGAAGGGGGAAGGATATAATTTGAATGACACTTGCCTTAATTTTGCATGTTTTGTTCTCCTTTCTTGTAAAGGCTAAAGAAGCTAAACGGCTCAAAGAATTCCTAGAAGACTATGACGATGATAGAGATGATCCAAAATATTACAGGTATGGGAACTGGTGTGCTGTTTAGGGACATCGGGAGGGCAGTTAGTGGGAGCACCTAGCTGTTAGAAAAGATTCAGAACTGGGCATGGTGGCGCAAGCCTTTAGTCCCAGCACCTGGGAGGCAGAGGCAGGCAGATCTCTGTGAGTTCAAGGCCAGCCTGGTCTACATAGTGAGTTCCAGGACAGCTGGGGCTGCAGGGAGACCTTGTCTCAAAAAGACCAAAAAAAAAAAGAGAAAAGACTCAGTATGGGGCTGGAGAGATGGCTCAGTGGTTTAAGAGTACTGACTTCTCTTGCAGAGGATCTGAGTTCTATTCCCAGCACCCACATGATGGTTAACAACCATCTGTAGCTCCAGTTCCAGGGGATCAGATGCCTTCTTCTGACCTCCGAGGTCATTGCCTGACACTGGTGCACTTACACCCATACAGGCAATGCATTCATACATGTAAAATAAAAATAAATAGGGGAGCCTATGATAGTATTATTCTCAATAACCTTTTTTCTTCATATATTTAATAAAAGTAGTTTAATAGTCATAACTAATTCTTTTTAACTAGTTCAGAAAATTTTCTCTTGGGATTTCAGAAGTGTTTCATAGTAATCTGATTCACCCTTCCTACCAACTCCATTCCTGTATTGATAAATTTCTCTGAAGAAAGTTGTAACTACCTGACTTTCCTCCTCTCCTAGTTCTTTTGGCATTTCTAAGTTTCCATTCCAGCATTTATGTGTTATAGCAAAAATTTTTAGAACTCCTAGCCATACTGTAACTTATTCAAGGATATGGAACAGTACCTTTTACAAAAAATATTTATTGTTTTTATGTTTATGTGTGTGTGCCTGTATATTTCTATGTGTACCACATGCATGCCTATTATCTACAGAAGCAAGAAGAGGGTGTCAGATCTCTTGAAACTGCAATTATGGTTTGTTGCAAGCTGCCATATGGGTCCAGGAAACTAAACCTGGGTCCTCTGGAAGAGGGGCATGTCTTAACTGCTAAGCCAACTCTCCAATGCATGACAGTATCTTGATATATCTCTCCATCTCTCCAACCCATTACAATCTTGATATATCCCTAGTTGCGATGTGAATTTATGCATGCATAATGAAAGGGAAAATTTTATGCCACAATAACAGAGCATTGGAATTAGCATTTGAAACTGGGAAAGTGCCAAGGATATCATTTGTAGAAAATGCGTCAAAATTAGTGAAATTATTGAGTACAGGTCGTAGGATCGCAGTGCAGCGCTTCAGCTCGTGGGGCCGCTGTGCCTGTGTGTAGGTGCATTCAACCTGTACAGGTAGGTGTATGTGGAAGCTAGAGAGTGACATTGGGATCCCTTCTCTTTTTTTTTTTTGGTCTTTTTGAGACAGGGTCTCCCTGAGCCCCAGCTGGCCTGGAACTCATGTAGACCAGGCAGGCCTTGAACTCACAGAGATCCATCCACATGCCTCTGCCTCTCAAGTTCTGGGATTAAAGGCCTATGCCATCATACCTGGCGACATTGGGATCTCTTCTATAGTTGCTTCTCCTTGCTTTTTGGTAGTCTCTGATTGAACCTTGAGATCACTGCCTTTTTTTTTTTTTTTTTTTTTTAAAAAAAGATGGGCTCACTGTGTAGCCCTGGCTGGCCTGACTTGCTGTGTAGACCAGATTAGCCTTGATCTATAGAAATCCACTTGCCTCTGTCTCCTGAGTCCTGGGATTAAAGGCATGCACCCATCATGCCCAGCCAGCTCACAGCTCACTCTCTGGTTTAGCTTGGCTGGCCAGTGTGTCCCCAGTATCTGTCTTCTCCTCTCCTTGGTTTTTCACATGGGTGCTGGGGATCTGAACTTACCGAGCCTTCTTTCCATCCTTAACTTCATCTTCTCAAGACACAATGAACCGCTGACTAGAGTGAAACTTGTGGGAGTTGGTCTTCTCCATCATATGGGTTTAACCAAGGATTGAAGTTTGGTTATCAGGCTTGCCTTCAAAGCTTTTACACTCTGAGCTCTGTCATTGGACCATGAACTTTGAGACAAGGCCTCACTGTGTAGTCCACGTGGCCCTGAACTCACATCCTTTATTGTTGAGATTAAAGACCAACCATGTCCTGCTTTATTGGGGAGACAGTGACCTTATACTGTTGACACCTTTATCCCTTCAACTATTGTTAGCAGTTTTAATGCTAATTGTATTATTTTCACACTTTGCTGCTTTTGAAAATGCAAATTATGTTTTAGTGACTCTCTGTGGGATAGGCAAAAAAATGAGAGCTCTGTTGCCCTTGAAAAGTTAAGATACTGTTGGAGACATTCTGTGTACTAGACAATGAAGTGCTTGCTAAACGAATCCTATTATCTTTGCAGGGGGAGTGCTCTTCAAAAAAGGTTGCGAGATAGAGAAAAAGAAATGGAAGCTGATGAACGAGATCGGAAAAGAGAGAAGGAAGAACTTGAGGAAATCAGGCAACGCCTTCTGGCAGAAGGGCACCCAGATCCAGATGCAGAGCTCCAAAGGGTAAGATCTGAAATAATTTTGTTTGAAGAGTCTCATGTCATCTTAAAGCCAGCTATAATATAATTTATTTTGTAGTCAAACAGTATACACATTATGGGGCTGGGGAGATGCCTCCAGGATTCAGAATACTGGCCTTTTCTTGCAGAGGACCCAGGCTCAAATCCTAGCACCTACATGGTGGTGAACAACCACCTGTAATTCCAGTTCCAAGGAATCTGACGCCATCTTCTGTTATTCCACTGGCACTGCATGAGATGGGCACACTTACATACATACATGTGTAATACTCATACACATAAAATAAAAATAAATGGAAGGCCGGGCGTGGTGTCCCTTGCCTTTTAATCCCACCACTTGGGAGGCAGAGGCCAGCCTGGTCTACATACAGGGAGTTCCAAGCCAGTTGGGGCTACAGGGAGACCCTGTCTCAAAACAAAAAAAAATTATATACATTATGCTGTATGGAATTTGCTGTTGTTATTTTGTGGAAGTTCATTAATACATCTATTGTTTTTATTTGAAATAGGATCTTACTATGTAGTTCTGGCTGACCTGGAACTCATAGAGATACACCTAGCTCTCCAGTGTTGGGATTAAAGGCATGTGCCACCACCAACATTCTGTTATTTTTAGCATATATTTAGCATAATTGTCAAACTTAGTTGAATTCACAATTTTATGTGGCTATGTGTTCCTGGTGTGAGGGATACATGTATAGAAGCCAGAGGTCAGTCTTAGGTATCATTCTTTGGGAGCAATTCACATTTTTTTCCTTGAGCCCCAGGTCCCTCATTGGAACTTAAGGTTCATCTCTTAGGCTAGCCTAGTCCTCAGGTTCCAGGGATCCACCTGCGTCCACCTCCTCAGTGCTGCAATTACAAGTGCATATTGGTCCGTGCTTGGTTTGGATGTGATGGGTGCTGGGGCTCAACTCATGTCATCATGCTTACATGACAAGCACATTACCAAGTGAGCAGTTCTCATAGTCTCTTGATTCCACATCTTTTTATTTTTTATTTTCTGGGTTTTTTTGAGACAGGGTATCCCCCTAGCCCCAACTGGCCTGGAACTCACTATGTAGACCAGGAAGGCCTGGAACTCACAGATCCTCCTACCTCTGCCTCCTGAGTGCTGGGATTAAAGGCGTGTGCTACCATGCCTGGCTTCACATATTTTAATAAACATAAATCAGTTAAGTCTTTGGTCATCTGTGTCTTTTAGCTTTACTAGAAGGCTGTCCTTAACACTGTAGTCTGACTTCTAATAACTAGTTTAAATTCCTTTTGTTACTATAAGATGTTTTCATTAACAATTTGTTAATTTTTAAAAAATAGGCTGTTTTAGATCATATACACCCTATTGTTGAATTTTTTTTGAGACATGGTATCACTGTGTAGCTCTGGCTGATTTTGAACTCAGAAATCTGCCGGTCTCTGCCTGCTGAGTGCATTAAAGTGTACATCACCACCACACCTGTCGAGAATTTGTGATTTTTAGAAACATTTTTAATATTTTCCCGTTTTAAGATTTATTTTTATCATTAGAGAGAGAAAGTAAGTGAGCTCACATAGACCAGAGGCATCATATCATCCCTGAAGCTGGAGCTCCTGGCAGTTGTGAGCCACTTGATCTGTGTTCAAGGAACCAAACTTGGGTCGTGTGCAAGAGCCATACATGCTCTTAACTGCTGAAGCATCATTCCAGCCCCAGTGTATTTAGTTCTTATTCTATGAAGTAATAAGATTTTTCATAAATTATTTTATATATTTTTCCCTTGTAAAAATAAGCAGTGGGAGGCAGAGGCAGGTGGATCTCTGTGAGTTCCAGGACAGTTGGGGCTACAGGGAGCCCCTGCTTCAAAAAGACCAAAAAAAAAGCAGTCTTTTCACATCCCTTGTTTCTGTTTTGATTTTTTTTTTTTTTTTTTTTTTTTTTTTTTTTTTGGTCTTTTGTTTACTCTGTCAGGGTTTAGTGTAGCTCAGCCTGTCCTTGAACTGGTGCTAGTCCTCTGCCTTCATGAATTCTGATTTGTCTTTTGTCATCATGCATAGCTATTGTGTCCCATTTTCCTCCCCATATTAAAAGAGTTTGTTGTTGATGAAATAAGAACTTACTTGAATAAGTAGAAAGGTCAAATGTTCAGTTCATGGTTTATTAGCCTAGTTCCTCCCCTTCTCCACTCCCCTTTGAGACTGTCTCACTGTGCAGTACTGACTGGCCTGGAGCTTGCCATCTAGACCAGGTTGGCCTCAAACTCAGATCTGCTTGTTTCTGTCTCTGCTTTCCAAGTAATGGTATTAAAAGTGTGCACTAGCACATCTGGTTTAACCTAATTGTTTCTTTAAAAAATATTTATTTTTATTTTATGTGTCTGAGTGTATTGCCTGCATGTAGGTAAGTGCACCTGTGTCGTGCAATGCTGGCAGAGGTCAGAAGAGGCTGTCGGATCCCCTGGAACTAGAGTTATGGACAGTCGTTAGCTGCCATGTGGGTGCTGGGATTCAAACCCAGGTCTTCTGCAAGAACAACCAGTGTTCTTAACCTCTGAGACATCTCTCCAGCCCCTAACCTAATTCTTAGTAACTCATGTTTTGTTTTAAAGTATCTTTCATAATTTTTCATTGGTCTTTGATTCAAATATCCTTTTATCTTTTTCCTATTGTTTGAATATGTAAGTGTCCACTAGTGAGAAGAAATGACTGTATATTATAGACTGTATTGTCTATATTGTTTAAAAAATAAAACATGGGCTGGAGCATTGGATGTTCTTGCACAAGAGTTTAGTTCCCAGCACCCACATGGGGACTAACAGCCCATCTGTTACTCTAGTTGCAGGGGATCCCATGCCCTCTTCTGGCATTGTGCTACATGTGTGCACACTACATGCAGATAAAACACTCTGTTTGTAAAATAAAATCTTAAAAAAGTTAAAAATTGGGGCTGAAGAGATGGCTCAGTGGTCTAAGAGTATTGGCTGTTCATACAGAAGATTGGGGTTTGAATCTCAGCACCCACATGGTAGCTAACAACTGTCCATAACTCCAATCCCAGGGAATCTGATGCCCTCTTCTGTTCTCCACAGGCACTGCATGACACAGGTACACTAATACACATGCAGGCTTAACACTGATACACATAAAATAAAAATAAGTAAATAAATAAAAATGTTTTTTAATTAAAAATTGCTGGGTATGTTTACGCACATCTTTAATCCCAGGACTTGGGAGGCAGAGGCCAGTGGATCTCTGTGAGATCAAGGCCAGCCTGGTCTACGTAGAGAGTTCTAGACCATCTGTGACTAGAGAGATCCTGTCTCAGGAAAAAAAAAGACCTCCCCTCCAAAAA